AGGTTATGTGATTATTCGAATATAATGAAAAATTAAGAAATAATAATACACATAAAAATAATTTTAACAGCGTTGAATTTTAATTGAAATATAAAAATATTAATTACAGTCAAATATTGAGTTCAAATATTAGGAGAAATATAGGTTATGTCATGTAAAGTATAAATTCGAATACAATAAAATTACGATAATATACTGTTGTCGTGGTCATGCATGCCTTCTCTTTTTTGTCCTATTTTAATGTATTTGTTACAATGATGACGTTTATTTGACGTCAAGAACAGAAAAGAGAAGACATCAATGACTACGATTATACCTTTTTAACATTTTAGTTTTCTATAAAACAAAGTACTAAGAAAGACGCAATTACGAATTGCAATAATGTGAATGTGAAAGGTGCTACTAAAAAAAAGAGAAGTAAAATCAATAAAACTGCTAGCAGAAATGCATAATTGCTTATGGTTTAATACTTTTTTTTATAGAGTTTAAAGAAATATGCTTTAAAATTTGTTTTAGAATCAACAAGTTTGAAAATGTCACAAGGAAATAAAAAACTATCAGGTGCTCAAAATTTAAAGAGAAAAAGACAAATAGAAGCCGAAAATGAAAACAGTGCAAAACAATTTGCAAAATTTGTTAAAGTTATAGACCGCAGTGAGACATTAGTTGCTGACAATGCTACAAACATTGACAATTGTTCAACACCAACCAGCGAACATGTTTCGAATGCAGATTTTGCCATTCCTACTTCGGCTGCTACTGTTGCTTCTGAAAGAGATAAAGAAAAGCTTTCTTAGTGTATCGAGGATTCATTATCACAACACCATGACAATCTTAATGAATCGGTGCCCGGGCCTTCTAATTGTCAAATATTGAAGACTCCTTCGTCAACTTTACCGTTGTGCGTTTCAGAAGACATATCTAACTGGCCAAATTTTTTGACAAAAAGGGAAATTGATGTGATAGTGTTGCGGGGACCTAATAATTGTAAACTTGACAATGATACTAACTACCTGCGTGATAAAAAAGGTCACCATTTTTCAAATAAACATTTCCAAAAAATAATTCTGAATGGAGAAATGTATAGTAGGACGTGGCTTGTTTATTCAAAATGTTCTGCAAAGGTATTTTGCTTATATTGCAATTTATTTTGCCGAAATTCATTATCGAATTTAGCAAATAACGGTTATGATGATTGGGCTCATATTTCGTTGGCTTTACAAAAACATGAAATTTCGAAGGATCACCAGTCAGCAACATATAACTGGTTGCAAGCCACAAAAGCATTAGCAAGACAAACTGGAGAGGATCAACATTTAATGAAACAAATAGATGACGAAAAACAAAAGTGGAAGGCAATACTCGATAGAATGTTGGCAATTACATTGTTCTTGGCCCAAAACAATTTGGCTTTTAGAGGAAGTTCAGACATTATAAACACTCCACACAATGGAAATTTTTTGGGTTTAATTCAATTGTTAGGTAAATTTGACCCCGTCATGATGGAACATTCACGCAGCGTCGCCAATAATGAGACAAAAAACTATTATTTTAGCAAAAACATTCAAAACGAACTCATTGATTTGCTCGGAAACGAAGTAAGGGATACTATTATCAAGAAATTAAAAAAATCTAAATATTTTTCAATCATTTTCAATCAGTCATATTGAGCAGCTAAGTGTTACATTGAGATTTTTGATATTGATGACAATTCCGTGCGTGAATGTTTCATTAAATACACACCAGTATCGGATTCCAATGGCAAGGGTCTCACGGATTTATTTCTGGATGAGGTGATAAAGAAATATGGGCTAGATATGAATGATTGCAGGGGTCAAGGCTACGATAATGGTGCAAATATGGTAGGAAAACAAAAGGGTGTCCAAAGCCGCATTATCAAAGAATATCCCAGGTCATTTTCTATCGTTTGCGGTTGACACAGTTTTAATTTAGTTGCTTCTGACGCTGCTAAAACTTCAGTTAAATCAGTCTCATTGTTCGGAGTTATCCAACGTCTATTTGTCTTTTTCTCATCTTCTACAAAAAGGTGGGAAACAATTTCAAAATATACAGAAACACTGACATTAAAAAAAGTTTGTGAGACACGTTGGGAAAGTAGAGTTTCAAGTCTTAAAGCTGTCAAGTATCAATATACTGAAATGAGAGATGCACTACTAGAACAACACGAGGAAAGTACTGATCCAGTTGCAGCTTCAGAAGCCAGGTCTCTCGCCGAACATATGAATCAATACGAATTTTTGCTCGTTCTTGTGATTTGGTACGATTTACTCTACCAAATAAATATTGTTAGTAAATCCTTGCAATCAGAATCGGCCGACTTGTTATTAGCAACAAGTTTATTACAAAAATGTTGTAAATTTGTCAAAGACTACAGAAATAATGGTTATGCATCAGCTGTGATTGTAGCAAAGGAGATCGCCGAAAAAGCAGACATTTCCCCAGTGTTTCAACAATCTCGAACCCGACGAAGAAGAAGAATGTTCGACTATGAATCTCAAGATGAAACTCCAACCAACCCAGAAGAAAATTTTAAGATCACCGTATTCTATACTTTGATAGATACAATTGTAAATTCTCTCGAAATGCGTTTCGAACAAATGTCGAATTTTAATTCAATTTGGAGTTTTTTGTATACTGTATTGTTTACTGCTGACTATTCCACTAACTGTTGCCAAAGGTGAACGCAGTTTCAGTAAACTAAAATTAATAAAAACATACCTAAGATAAACATTAGCTCAGGAGAAACTTTCGAATTTAGCAATTTTATCAATTGAAAATGATATTGCTAAATCCATACCTAAAGATGATTTAATTGTCAAATTTGCAAATGCTAAAGCAAGAAAGGTGAACTTTATATAAATTTATTTATAATGTATGTGCTTTTATCGTCGAATATTGCGAACATTGATATCTTTTAATAATGTTATTGTATAAAAGATTGTATTATGCTGGCTGGTTGAATCATTAAAAATCTGCCCATTATTAGTAAAATTTAATAAAATGTAAATTTTTTAAAGTTTCTTAATGATGTTTTCTTAACGTTCAAGACCTAAAAAATGAAAAGCGTATGCTTTTGTTTTAAAATTTTGTTTTTGCTGTTTAAAATATTTTGAAAACAAATTCCTTACCGTCAACACCCTTTTTTAGTCAAATAATACATAGGAAAATAAATACAAATATATATATACCTTTATATGTGTGTATATTTTTTAAATGTATAAAAAAAGGGCGCCAAAATGCAACTTCGCTCTATTCTAATAAAGTGCTAGGGCCGGCGCTGCATTTTAATAATAGTCAAAACAGGAGAAGAATATCATTACTGTACTCAATGCACAATTAACAATATTCAAGCTAGTTCCGTAAATTCCTTTTCTAGCTTCTCCTAACAATTTTCCTCAAATCATGGCCGCCTGAAAATACCTCTACTTATGATTAGCGGGCACAATATCTTCAATTTAGGTCATCGAAAAATAAAATTTTTAATATTTTCTTGAAAAGTAAGCTCGTTGCTATCGTAGGAACTACAATCAACATATATATTTATATAGGTATATATATATTTCTGATAGTGAAGATTCCAATTTCTTCAAAATGTCGACGGTCACCCGGAAAAAAGGAAGAAAACTTGGATCGAAGAATATGATTGAGAAAGAACAAAAAGTTAAAATTGATCTTTTTAATTTTTGGGAAAAATCATGCACCTCATAAAATGAATGCCTTTTCCATTATTTTAGGATTCTGTAACAAACATTAAAAGTCAATCGAAGGAAGCTGCATTGTTAAGAGATATTGATGTTTTTATTTGGGACAAAGCTCCAATGGCTCTACGTTATGCTTTGGAATTAATTGATCGAACGTTACGTGACTTCATGAATGTTGATATACCATTTGGAAAAAAAGTTATGTTATTGGATGTTGATTTTCGATAATTATTACTTGTTAAAGTTAATGCTACTAGAAGTGAGATACTTAATTTATTCATTAAACTCACTAGTTTATAAAATTATTTAAAAACTTTTACATTATCACATAATATAGAAACTTTACCTGAAGAAGTTGAATTTACAAAATACTTATTGGCAATTGAAAACAGTACTTTAAATAATAGTAATAATAATTTAGTAGCTCCAGAACATTGCGTACAAAACAATGATTTAGTTTATACAATTTTCAGAGAGTTAGTAACGAGTCGAAAATACTGTGATTTAGCAAAAGATGAAATATTGTCTGCACGAAATGATGATGCGTATGAAATTAGCAGTAGAGTAGTATTCTGTGTTTCTTATATATCAAGGAAATATGTTTTACAAATTCATATTTGCGTAACGAAAGGTAACTTTTATCAGAAGCATTTGATAGGAACTTTTCCATATAAACTGAACTAGAAATTAAGATTATTTACTTTGAAATCCATTCGGTTTTCTTTTTAAGACCGCAATCAAGCTGTGATAACTTTCTATGTCTGATTTATCCATGAGATGGCACGTTTTTACAACCTAGAGTGTATTTTATAATTAATTTTTTATTTTTGTTTATGTAACTCCTGTTTAATTTTTATTTACACATACAAAGTACTGTGTATATTAACTGTTTTAAGTTATAATTCTTTAAAAACTTAGTATTCATTATATCCATGTGATACAGTGTTCTAAAATGGCAGCATTACTCCTTTAATTTTTATAGAGAATATTATAATTTAGGATTTACAGACCAATTATTCTTAGAATTAATGAATTTTAACCTGGGGTGCAATTATGTAATTACAGTTTGACTTTCACATTGACATTGAATTTCATAATGACTTTCACTTTCACTTTTAGTGAAATTCAATTAAAAATCGTATTTCAGTAACAGTGAAAATGAAAGTCATTATGAAAGTCAATGTCGATGTGGAAGTCAAAATGTTATTACATAACTGCACCTCTGTTCTAGGATCTAGATCTTCAATTGCATATTATATAAAATGCTATTTTTCTCAGATTCACATTTCCAAAGAATAAAAAGAAATTAATATTAGATCTAAATAAAGGATTAATATATACATTTCGTTACCATGTTTGGTCTCAAGGACATGCAGCTACTAATTATTCATTTTGGAAAAAAGCTTCTACTCCTTACGAGGTATGTATAAATTTATATTTTTTTCCCTAATAGCACCCATATATCCGTTATATTAGATTCATTATTTAAAATGGTTTCAAATTTTTTTCAAATTTGTAATTTGAAACTCATAGATGTCAAAAGATATTAAAATCCGATAATTAAAAAAAAATTTCTTCGAACTTTTAACATTTTTTAAAATTAACTTTATATTCTTAATAATGACCCCCAAAAAGCTACAAATAACAAAATTTCATGTAAATCGGTCAATTTATTATTTTCTATTCTTTTCATTTCCATGTGATAGCAGAAACTTATATTTCATTACCTATACACTGTTTATGGATAGAGTAGAAATAAACTACTTTTTTCGTGTACTTTTATAATCTATAAGAAGAAATTACAATAAGTTCAGAGTATTTAAAAGTTAAATTCAAATTCAACACGAGACATTCAGAAAATGGTTTTTTGTTGTGTGTTACGTATTGAAATGAAACGTTTTAAGTGACTTCAACAATTCGGACATCTTAAAAATCATTACAAACTTTAAAGTTCTATATAAAAATACTCTTCTAAGGAATAAACTTAATGCTTTGTTGAGGTGGTTGTCAATCCGTATTCAATATTGAATATGAATGATTATGGCATTGGTGTCAATTTTAAATAATTTTTTTTAGAAATGTCATTACAAATTAATAAAACATCATTTTATTATAAATATATATACATATATTGCTTCCTCGTGGAGGAAGCTATGTAGTCCTTTCGTTTATAAACTTTTTAAAAATGGTGAAAACAAATTTTCCTCTATATAGAAATATGTTATATGAGATCCTGATCAATTGTCCGGATGTATGTGTGTGTGTGTGTGTGTGTGTATGTGTGTGTGGATCGTTTTTGTGAACACGATATCTTTAACAGGTTTTAATGGATTTGGATAAAATTTGGTAGGCTTATTTAACACATTAATCTCTCAAAAATGACGAGAGGATTTTTAAAAATACCCCAAAAAAAAAATTTTATCGTTTTTTTTCCAAAATTTTTTTTTAATTGAAAAAATTTTTAAATCGAAAAATTTAAGGTAATATATAATATAATCGTCTTCTTTATGTCAAGATGAATCGATTGATATATATAAAGTATAGATTTGATTGAAATTTAAAGAATTAAAGAAAGTTAAAAAATCAAAAATTCTCATTTTAGCTAAAAAATGATGTGTTTATTCAAATTCATGTTTATATATGAAATAATTTTATTCCCTGCATTGAAACGAATTGGTTGGTATATATAAAGTATAGATTTGATTTAAAATTTGAGAATTAATAAAAATTGAAAAATCGAAAATTCATATTTTAGCTAAAAAATTTTGTGTTTTTTTTAAATTCAAGTTGATGAATAAAATAATTGTATTCCTTGCATTAAAACGAATCGATTCGTATATATAAAGTTTATGTTACACTCAAAATTAATTAAAATTTTCTTTATTTTTCAAAAAATTTAATTAATTTAAAACATTTTTAACTCGAAATTTTTTAAATCAATCAATTGAATTGGACAAATTCATTGCTTCCTTCACGAGGAAGCGAATTTTTTGCTTCACACAATGAGGAAGCATAATGTTTATGAAATAAACATAAAGGACCCCCTCCTTGTTTAAATTACTGTCTTTGCAAACAATTTTTTTACCACATAAGGTACAAACTTTCTATTTTATTCATGAAAAACGCGTGATTAAAAATAAATCAACTACATCTACAAAACTTTTAACTAAATTTAGCCAACTTGTTATCATTTATTTTCTTACACGATACAAATACAAATTCCAATAGCAGTAACTAATGTTGCGTATATTAATAAGAATAAGAAGTGATAGAAAATTTGGATAATCTAATCTTTGCATCTGCGGTGTTCTAGGGAAAATACTCTCTTATTATTTTTGTTGACAGTGCGGATTTAAAATTACAATATTGATCATCCAACATTTATTCCCAAAAATTATAGTTATGTATTATTATTATTTTTACATTTAATAAGTATAAAAAAATTGCACTAGTAATTTCAACTGATCTGCACATCGTAATGAAGCAATTTTTTATTATAATGCATAAAAAAACAATAAATACATTAAAAGTCATGCAGGAGGATCGGTTACGATTTTGAATCTTTGAAATTTTGTTTATTTAGTGTCCGGAGATTCAAAATATATAAGAGTTTTTTTTCGGCATCGGGGACCAACTTTTTCTTCGTTAAAGATTTTTCTTCGTGCGTGATAGAGACTTCTATACATAGGCTTAACTTTTACGTTTTTCTATATGAAGAACGGCAATTTAGTACACATGCGTATTTTTACGTGTAGATTACAGGAAAAATATAACGAGATTGATTCGATTTGATGACTACGACCTAGAAAAGATATAAATCGGTTTCTTTCGAAATAATTGCAAAAAATGACCCAGTCTCTCCCCTTAAGTGGTGCCGTAATTTTCCCCAAATCTCAAATGTCATAATATTCATTTGACATAAAACCAGTTGACATAACCAATATTTGTCATAATTTTTTTGGTCATAATTTTACTTTAGCATAAATTTTAATTGACATACTAATTATTCAGCATAATTCGCATTTGACAGAATGTTTATTTAGTATAAGTTATATTCGGTATAACTTTCAATTGTCAAAATTTTTATTTGGCATAATATACATTTGTCATAATCTTTATTTGACATAATTTTCATTGATCATAATTTTAATTTGGCATAATTATCATTCATCATAAAATGTATTTGATATAATGTTCATTCGTCATAACTACTTTTTGACATAATATTTATTGGTAATAATTCTTAACTGGTATAACGCTAATTTAACATAATGACTATTGGACATAATGCTCATTTTTCATAATTCTTAATAATCATAACTGTCATTTGTAATAATCACTGTTTGATATAATGTTTATTATTAATAATCAGCAATTGACATAACGCTTATTTAGTATAATGTGTATTTGACATAATGTTCATTTGTCATAATTTGCATTTCACAAAATGCTTATTTGTCATAATTCTTATTAGTCATAACTTTCATTTGTCATAATTTTTATTTGGCATAATTATCATTTAGTATAAAATATATTTGATATAATGTTTATTCGTCACATCGATGGTTTAATATAATTTTCATTTATAATAATTCTTAATTGGCATAAATTCAATTTAACATAATTGTTATTTGATATAATGTTAATTTGTCATAATTTACAATTCTCATAATGCTCATTTGTCATAATTCTTATTAGTCATAACTGTTATTTGTCATAATTACTGATTGACATAATGTTAACTTTTTATAATAAGCACTTGACATAATCTTTATTTCGCATAATTTAAGTTTGACATAATGTTCATTAGACATAATTTTAATTTGACATAATGTTCATTGTTCATAATTTTTATTTGTCATAATTATCATGCAGTATAAAATGTACTTGATATAATGTTCATTTGTCATAACTATTTTATGACATAATGTTTATTTGTAATAATTTTTAATTGGTATAACGCTAAATTAGTATAATGTGTATTTGACATACTGTTCATTTGTCATAATTTTCATTTGACATAATTCCCATTTGTCATAACTTTATGTGTCAACGATTTTTTGCTGTATCTTCCCATCCTTGGTTTTTTAATTAGTAGTTTGTATATGTTGGTAAAGTAGATTAGGTGGCGCTGTCTAATATTTCTGAAATTAATTCTATCTTGCTTTTAAATATGAAAATTACAATTTTAATATTGTACAATTTTTTAATGTCATCATTATTAATATGAATTGTCATATTATTTTTAAAAAAATGTAATTGAATTGTACAATATTAAAATTGTAACTTGGAAAAAAAAGTAATTTTTCATATTTAAAAGCAAGATAGAATTAATTTCAGAAATATTAGACAGCGCCACCTAATCTACTTTACCAACATATACAAACTACTAATTAAAAAACCAAGGATGGGAAGATACAGCAAAAAATCGTTGACACATAAAATTATGACAAATGGGAATTATGTCAAATGAAAATTATGACAAATGAACAGTATGTCAAATACACATTATACTAATTTAGTGTTATACCAATTAAAAATTATTACAAATAAACATTATGTCATAAAATGGTTATGACAAATGAACATTATATCAAGTACATTTTATACTGCATGATAATTATGACAAATAAAAATTATGAACAATGAACATTATGTCAAATTAAAATTATGTCTAATGAACATTATGTCAAACTTAAATTATGCGAAATAAACATTATGTCAAGTGCTTATTATAAAAAGTTAACATTATGTCAATCAGTAATTATGACAAATAACAGTTATGACTAATAAGAATTATGACAAATGAGCATTATGAGAATTGTAAATTATGACAAATTAACATTATATCAAATAACAATTATGTTAAATTGAATTTATGCCAATTAAGAATTATTATAAATGAAAATTATATTAAACCATCGATGTGACGAATAAACATTATATCAAATATATTTTATACTAAATGATAATTATGCCAAATAAAAATTATGACAAATGAAAGTTATGACTAATAAGAATTATGACAAATAAGCATTTTGTGAAATGCAAATTATGACAAATGAACATTATGTCAAATACACATTATACTAAATAAGCGTTATGTCAATTGCTGATTATTAATAATAAACATTATATCAAACAGTGATTATTACAAATGACAGTTATGATTATTAAGAATTATGAAAAATGAGCATTATGTCCAATAGTCATTATGTTAAATTAGCGTTATACCAGTTAAGAATTATTACCAATAAATATTATGTCAAAAAGTAGTTATGACGAATGAACATTGTATCAAATACATTTTATGATGAATGATAATTATGCCAAATTAAAATTATGATCAATGAAAATTATGTCAAATAAAGATTATGACAAATGTATATTATGCCAAATAAAAATTTTGACAATTGAAAGTTATACCGAATATAACTTATACTAAATAAACATTCTGTCAAATGCGAATTATGCTGAATAATTAGTATGTCAATTAAAATTTATGCTAAAGTAAAATTATGACCAAAAAAATTATGACAAATATTGGTTATGTCAACTGGTTTTATGTCAAATGAATATTATGACATTTGAGATTTGGGGAAAATTACGGCACCACCCCCTTAACTTCTACATTTTTCTATATAAAGAACGGCAATTTAGTACACAAACGTATTTCTACGTGTCGATTACACGAAAAATATAGCGAGACAGATTAGATTTGATGACTACTAGCTAGAATGGAAAGAAATCGGTTTTTTTTCGCAAAAATTGCAAAAAATTCACGGTTGAGTTCACGATAAGTTCGACTTGGCCTTGCGGATATGCGATATTTCGTGAATAGGTACTAAGCAGGCAGTCTCGGTTGAGCTTTCGATAAGTTCGACTGAAACTTGTGAATTTACTATACTTCATGAGTATATGTTTAGCAGGCAGTCAAAGTTAAGCTGACGGTAAGTTTGACTGTGGCTTGTATATATGCGATAATTAGTATGTAAATATTTAGCCATGTTATTTATTGAGACACGTGATCATGCGAAACAATATTTTTTTCAAAAAATTGTAACACAAATTTCACATTGAGTGAAAGTATCATAAATAAAAGTTATACATAGTAGATATTTAAATGTGTTTCTTTATTTATATATCTTTATTTATTTATATTAAAAATAGTTTATTATTGTTGGTGTATGGAACCCTTGAATTAGTGGGAGTGTAACTCGCACTTGTCCGATTTTTTTTTATTTTAAATGTTTCAGTTCAGTAAACTAATACTATGAAATAAAAAAAAATTTATTTGATATCATTTAACAATATTATAAACAATTTCTTTAAAGAAATTGCAAACTATGGACCGAAGTGGTTCATAGTCATAGTCATTTGTTTAAAGAAAATGTTTATAATATTGTTAAATAATACCGCATAATTTTTTTTTATTTTATATTATTATTTTACTGAACTAAAACATTTTAAATGTTTTGGATTTTTTTCATATCGATTTCGATTAGAAAATCTAATTTTAAATAAAAAAACACTCTAAAATGTTTGTTTTTTTGTATAAGGGGACTTTCTGGTTTAGGATTGCCAAAAAAGGCACGTTTTAAAACTTTTATTGTAAGAAAAGGATGAAGGAATTTGCAAAAATTCTTTTTGGACATTGTTGCACATTACGTATAGAAAATTTTTAAAAAATGTTTTAGTGTATTTAGTTTAATTTCGTAGCTGTAGGTGGCGTCTTCTAAAAGATACTTTTGGTTTTTTAAAATCGGTTCAGGAGATTTTGAAAAAAAGCCGTGCACCAGTTTGAAAAATGTGTTTTCTGGAAAAGCGCGTTTAAATTTTTCATAACAATTATAACTTTTTATCATGAAGTCCAAATTGAAATTTTCTTAGATCCTGAAAGAGGACACTCAAACGCATAAAAAACTATATGCCAAAATTTTTAAGAAGCCCAACTCGTAAAATAGGAAGTTCGAATTTGAACGAAAAAATCGGACATTTGTGACTAAATGGGTTAAATAAAGTAGGGGAGAGTGGGGAGTTGTGCCTCCCCTCATAACACCGGGATATTGTGGATATCCCTGCGACGTCCTATGGATATCCACCGACTTTTGGCGGTTTGGATATTTCTGGGATATCCCTGGGATATCCATGGACATCCAAACCGCCAAAAGTCGGTGGATATCCATAGGACGTCGCAGGGATATCCACAATATCCCGGTGTTATGAGGGTCGTGGGGAGTCGTGCTCCACCTTAATTTTTTTATTATGGCAATTAATATGACAAATTTCAACTATTCGCATATTCTTTTCTCGTTAAGAACTAACTTTTTAAGTTGTACCCGTCATCTTTGGAAGCATTTTTCGTGTCTTTCCAGATAGTAAGATAATATTTTTTTTAAAAGTCTGTTTTGTCTCCTTATGTTTAGGTCACTTCCACTCATTTTTTCAAAGTGATCACAATGTTTTTTTTCTCCTTAACCTGACGTGATAATTAATTAAAGCTTAGATCCTACTCTTTAAGAATCATATGTGCAAGATAAAAAAAATCTTGAAAAAATTAGGTTCAAGACCCCCAAAAAGTTTATTGTTGTCTTTAATCCCATTTTTCAAAATTTCAAAAAAAATTTGTCATGCGTATATATGTATTTAAGTGTCCGATTTAAGTTTATATAGAAGTCTCTATAGTACATCAAGCTAAGGAGAAAAAAATAATGAAAATTGTAACCTTAAAAACACAATTTTAGAACCACTCCGACATATAAAAAAAAGTCTTATTTTGTAGACCTGTGTTATTTGCTGTTAAAAAACAGGAATTCTTAACAACCCAGGTAAAAAAATTAACGTTATTAACATTACTAACGTTATTAACGTTACTAACGTTAGTCTAGCGCCAGTACCTATGAAAAATTCAGAAAATACTTATTTGGATAAGTAAAAATGTGTAACGTTTCAAGAAATCTATTGTACTTGAATGAATAACTTTAAACGTATTTTACATGAAAAGTTTTTGGTCGTAAGCACCGTTTCCTGAGTAACTTTAATAACGTTAATTTTTTCATCTGGAAAAACTAATGATTTCTGAACTAAAATAAGGCCTCTAATTATGTTTGTTTTATAAATTATACAATGACATTTTTAAGGTTTCCTGGCAACCTGACTATGAACCATATATAGTTGTACCGAGTTCAGCCCCAAAATATGATATAAGATTTATTGGATTTGGATGGAATAAAGTATCTTATATAACTCATTTGACAGCAATTGGATACAAGTAAGAAAACTTGATTTTTTATTTCTTTAAACTGTTCAAAAAAGTTTGTTAGGGGACACATGAGGTCAAAATAGGGAGGGCGGGGTTTAGCAAAATCTTTTTGAAGGGGAGAGAGGGGTTAATAAATTTACTATTTCTAATATATACATAGTTTCTGATTATATTTACACTGAAAGAAATCCGGGTGAGCAGCAGTAACAGCAAGTAGAGCTGCTCTATCAAATCGAAGAACGCTAACGACCCCTTTTTCGATCGGCTGACATCCCGTTCCGGGAGCTCAGACTACCCGTAGTGGTAGAGCTGCAGTTCCTTCATAGCCTCACCTTGTCAATAAGACATCTGCTTACCCGTACCTGTAGCGCACCGCTTCCCGAACGGAATCTCAGTCATACTTTGAGCAAAGGAACGCAGCGCTCTCAACGCTGAGACGTCTGCCCACCCAAATTTTTTTCAGTATAGAAAAATGATATTTACTCATGTTGATGAATATTATGTATGCATTATGTATAAGTTCTCTTTTAAGAAAAAATTATATAAAAAGTTATGTGATTCAAATAAATATAACTTTATTTTATTACAATTAAATTATTTTAATTACGGCATCCGTAATTTTCATTTAATATTGCATTTCTCTATCTAGAGGATTCAAAATAACATAAGAATATCTTCGCCTAAAAATCTTACTCTTCTTTTTTTCTGTTTTCAAAATAAAAAAAATATGTATATACCAGTATTAGACCCTCAGAACAATTACCACAAACAATGCCAATCCTTGGACAATAGAGCCTTTGTTAATGAAGATTAATTCTGAGGGGCCAGGTAATAATTTTTAAATTTTTTTATTAAAATTTTCTGAAGCTCTAATACAGGTAGGGGAGAGTGATAAACAGTGGGACAGTTTAAACAGTAGGACACTTTAATTTTCTGAAAAACTACTTAAAGAAACTCGACCAAAATTTAAATGTAAACCATGTTTATGACAACACACTATCTCCAAAAATTTTATCCACATTGATTCATTATTTACAAAGAAAATTGAAAAAAACTATTTCTGACGTTACGGAGTAAATTTTTTCTTGAAATACAATGCTGATTTTTATATAGATAGGACAGTTTTAAAAAAAGTGTCATTGTTACTTCGTTTACTCATGTTTTTAAGTATAATATCCAATAATTTAAAATATTTTAAAATTTTACAAACAATTTTTATTTAAATAATTTCTTGCGATTGCTCAATTTAAATAGTGGGATATTAAACAATGGGACAGGCAAAAATTTAAGTTTATGAAACTTGGATTTTGGCAACACTAATTATAAATTGTGTCAGCTATACGCATGCGCATTTATATTTACACAGCGACTAAAAATGTGATTTTTTTATGCTAAAAAACATTAAAAAATTCAAAATTTATAATTATGACAATTATTGTTCGGCAACGTTTGAAAAATAACATTTGATAAGAGAACGACTATTCAAATTTTCCTCCAAATTGTTTTTAGGTTATGACCAAATTATGACGTATGATCAGAAGTTCTGTAAAAGTAAAAAAAATAACAGCAATTTTTCATATGAAACTTGATATCGTATTATAAAAATGTAAAATATTATTAAATTATGAGTGTTTTGCAACATTTGTTAACGTTATTTAATGCAAAACATATATGTTTACAAATTATGAAGCAGAATATTATTATTGAAACAATTATTCATTATTTAATAATAGGTGTCTCACTGTTTAACACAAAACAAGAAAAATGTATCGAGTTCCAAAAACTTGAAATTTTTCTATTTAATCACAATATAATTATGTAGAAAAGAGTTCAAACTTTATGGTAATACCAAAAAGTGTCCAAAAATATATAAAATTGACATATTAAAATGTCTTTGAAAAAAAGTGTCCCACTGTTTGTCACTCTCCCCTATATATATATATATATATATATATATGGGACGTTCCACGTCAAACGGAACAGAGCTCTAGCCAAAAATTGGCTTGATAAAAAAAATCGTTTAGGGGCTGAAAAAACTTGTACACTCTTGTACTTTCGAAAGCAGATGGGCGATTTCAGAAATTCAATATGGCGGCGCCTCTAGATGTGATATAAGTCATCAATGTCACGATTCGACAAATACAAACATGAATAAAATTTCCAAAATTAATTAAATTGAATCAAAAAATACACTTTTAAGCATTTTTGTGGTCGCTGAATACGAATCTGAAGTCAGATTTTAAAAATTCAAAATGGCGGATCCAAAATGGTGGTCGATTTTTGTTATAACTCAATTTTTTTAAAAAACTGGTTACTCGGGGGTTTTTGGGGTCGCTGAATATGAATCTGCAGTCAGATTTTAAAAATTCAAAATGGCGGATCCAAAATGGTGGTCGATTTTTGTTAAAACTAAATATTTTTTCTCAAAACTGGTTACTCGGGGGTTTTTGGGGTCGCTGAATGCGAATATGTTGTAAATAAAATAATAATAATAATAAAAAACTAAGCGGATATGAAAAATAAAAAAATAATATGTAAAATTAATGAGTAGTAAAGTGTTTGTAAGGACTTTTGATATTTAAATCTTTCTTTTACATAGGTAAAATCATAAAGCTCTAAAAAATATACACTGTTAGTTACAATGCTATCGTTCATAAAAGGTTTCAAAGACACTTGGCTAAAAAATATACAAGTGCTCCTTTGTTTTAAAAATAAGCGACCTTTAAAACACCCGAATAACATATTTAATCAAAAAAATCTAATTTTATAATTAATTCATCCACACCGAAAACACCCAAATAACAAGTTTCGAAGAAAAAATTGAATTTTAACGAAAATCGACCACCATTTTGGATCCGCTATTTTGAATTTTTAAAATCAGACTTCAGATTCGTATTCAGCGACCCCAAAAACCCCCGAGTAACCAGTTTTGAGAAAAAATATTTAGTTTTAACAAAAATCGACCACCATTTTGGATCCGCCATTTTGAATTTTTAAAATCTGACTGCAGATTCATATTCAGCGACCCCAAAAACCCCCGAGTAAACAGTTTTGAGAAAAAATATTTAGTTTTAACAAAAATCGACCACCATTTTGGATCCGCCATTTTGAATTTTTTAAATCTTACTTCAGATTCGTATTCAGCGACCCCAAAAATGCTTAAAAGTGTATTTTTTGATTCAATTTAATTAATTTTGGAAATTTTATTCATGTTTGTATTTGTCGAATCGTGACATTGATGACTTATATCACATCTAGAGGCGCTGCCATATTGAATTTCTGAAATCGCCCATCTGCTTTCGAAAGTACAAGAGTGTACAAGTTTTTTCAGCCCTTAAACGATTTTTTTTATCAAGCCAATTTTTGGCTAGAGCTCTGTTCCGTTTGACGTGGAACGTCCCATATATATGGGACGTTTCACGTCAACCGGCCCAAAGCTATGTCCAAAATTCTATGCAATTACTATGTCAAGTGGAAGCGGCTAACTTCAGAAATAAGTAAATATATTTATTAATTTCTTTTAGAAAATTATGCAAAAATTTTAGGTCACCACATATTTTAATGTTTTTGAGGTCGCTGATTACGAATCTGAAGTCAGTTTTTCAAAATTCAAAATAACGGATCCAATATGCGGATTATTTTTTAAAAATAATTGAATTTGATTGAAACTTGTTACTCGGGGGTTTTCGAAGTCGCTGATTACGAATCTGAAGTCAGTTTTTCAAAATTAAAAATGGCGGATCCAATATGGCGGATTATTTTTTAAAAATTCATTGAATTTGATTGAAACTTGTTACTCAGGGATTTTCGAGGTCACTGATTACGAATCAGAAGTCAGTTTTTCAAAATTAAAAATGGCGGATCCAATATGGCGGATTTTTTTAAAATATTCATTGAATTTGATTGAAACTTGTTACTCGGGGGTTTCCGAGGTCGCTGATTACGAATCAGAAGTCAGTTTTTCAAAATTCAAAATGGCAAATCCAATATAATTACTTTGTGGCCTTTAAAAAGGCCGATTGTTATAATTATGAACTGTAAGAATGTGGTAGCCTTGAAAAAGGCTGATTGTTTTAATTTTTAAACCATAATTTTTTGGTGGCCTTAAAAAAGGCCGTTTGAATTAAATTTACAAAATACATCCAAACCAATGTAATTATATTTTAATATTGCATAACTGCAATAGGATGAGGTGCATTTGAATATTTGAATATTTTTAATTGTTCTTCTGATGTTACAATAAAAGAATGAGCAGATTGAATTTTTGTAACACTAGGTGCTCTAGAAAATCTACTAGCAAGTTTTCGTTTCACTCTCTCGTGTTGTTGCTTGTTGTAAAAGAAAATCTGCGAAGTCTTGATATTTTGCTTAGGCCATTGGTAAAGAGTCTCTGCATTTAAAATGGCTTTGTCTGGTGAGGATTGCAAGCTAGCACGAGTGGCTTCTCTCTTTAAAATAGCTCCTATGCCATCACATGATCCTTTACAGTTGACACACTGAGGGTTTAATAAAAACATTTGAACATCGTGAAAAAAATGACAATCGCTAAAACATATCTTACGTAGTCTGAATAAGCTCTTTTATAATTTAAAAAAATCCGCCATATTGGATCCGCCATTTTTAATTTTGAAAAACTGACTTCAGATTCGTAATCAGCGACCTCGAACTCCCCCGAGTAACAAGTTTCAAGCAAAATCAATTATTTTAAAAAAATAATCCGCATATTGGATCCGCCATTTTGAATTTTGAAAAACTGACTTCAGATTCGTAATCAGCGACCCCAAAAACATTAAAATATGTCGTGACCTAATATTTTTGCATAATTTTCTAAAAGAAATTAATAAATATATTTACTTATTTCTGAAGTTAGCCGCTTCCACTTGACATAGTAAGGACGCCATTTTGAATTTTCAATTCTGCCACTTTGCAATTGAAAGGGGATGAGTTTACGAGTATTTTCATCTATTACATGTTTATTTTTATTGCATAGAATTTTGGACATAGCTTTG